GAGACTCGCGCTACTAGAGGGGAGGTGCTCTTAGCTTACCACAAATATTTTGCCCTAAATAATTGAATACTGATTTTAGGCTATACGTTCGCGAGAAGGCAGGCCTCTGGAACTGAACATCACACCTTACGGAGAACTCCCACAAGTCGAATTAAGCGCTGGTGTCTCTTTCGAGAACCTCACACACCCTTTATGGCTTTTCTAGTCACAATTTTTCCAATACATTACAAAACATACAGACGCATAGTCTAATGCTGTGAACACTCCATTTTACTGCCGTTCTCAATAATGTGATGGAGCTTGTTGGTATTCCTTGGTACTCGAGAAACACTATCGGAAAACAACGGACCAATCAGCTGTCGAGGCCCTGCCCACAAGGGGCGGGGCCTAGACTGCTGACTGGCCAGTTGTTGTCCAATGTTTAAATCAGATGTGCTGTGTTGCTTTTTTCTTGTTCTGTTTTTCATATTTGCATTCTATTAGGGAAAATATCACGTCATTCATTGCCGTTACGATCTTTCTGTGTGTGACACAATTTTTAAGAACGGGTACATTGTTCAGTCCAGCTGCAAAGAAAACACAGAAGAGAACCATATGTTTCTCACCGTTGTTACTTTATATAGGTTGTTAATAAACGATTTTAAACAATATTTTTACTGCCTTGCAATCAACATCTACAGGGAGGGGGGGGGGGCAAATTATGAGGACAAAGAATCATGTCGTAAAAACGCATCGTATTTTGATGGAACAAACAAACTTCGTGACCAGATTAGGAGTGAGATCGGCTACCTACTCCGTTGACACGAACCTTCAATCACAGAATTAATGAAAGGATAAAGCATTTGCCGTTGATCAATCCCTTTTTGGGATGCGGCACGCATTCTACTTCCATTTGTACATTCGTAGTGGCGAATGCGATGTGGCCTATACAATGACTTGCGGGGGCCAGCCGATGTACAAGTCAGTGTTTTTATCCTCCCAGACAAGTCTGGTACCAATTAACCGACCCCGGAGGGATGGAAGGCTTGGTTGGCCCGGGCGACTCACGACCCAGGATTTGATCCCCGGACCGCTCGCGTGGTAAGCGTGCCACTTGCCACTACACCACTTCCGCCCAATTCGGTACATGTACTTATGAATTCGTGAATGAGAAGCCCTCCGGTATGGGAAAAGGAAAAATCTAGTTGAAAACAATCGGGACTTCGATGCGGGCCGCGAATGGAGCTCGGCATGTGCGCCAAAGAAGCCCTTCTACACTCTTCATGGATCATGGGGCCTTTAATCGAGAAATCCCGGAATCAGTTACTAGAAATTTCCAGTAAACTGGCTCAGCAGGAACAATATAGATCGAATTCACCTTCCTGAATCATTGCCAGCAATTTCGAGCTTCAATCGACGAATAAACCCGTTCGGAACTTCTACAGAACCCTTTTGCCCTTCGAAAACATTGCCATCGGAATTACCCTTTTTTCTGAAGTTCTTATGGGTGAAATATCAGTTATCGATTACGTTGAGTTGTTCTTACCTGAACACAACACGCCTCGCACAATCCTCTTAACTCTTCAGCTTTTCTCTGCGTTTCTGTGCTTGTTCTCAAAATTCGCTTTTGAAGACAAGCTGGGTAACACACTTGAAGAGGGATTTTCGCTCGAACTCAAGAACGCGATGTCTCATCTAACAAATACCGTAACCATAGGCTTCTTCCGAAAGACTACCAGTTGTCCTCCCCGGGTCAAGTTGCATCCACATTTGCATTGACAAATAGTGCTCACACTGCTTCGAGAGGGGCTTCAGCTCAAGAGCGAGACCATCAGTGCGCATTCAGGCTGATCTGTTCAGGTCGCTCAAGAACGGTAAGCAATTGTAGAGGAAAGGTGGCGCATGGGCCAAAATGTGTTGCACTGAGTTGATACGTTGAATTCAGGAGAGCTGCCGGTGGGCAGAACGTTCTTTGAAGGGCGGTGCTCATTGTTAGCCAAAAAAAACTCACAGCTCTGTTCAAGGGGAAGTCTACTGAGCGGGAAAATAGGAGAGAAGAACAATACCTACAACAGGTATCCCAACATACCTGAACTCAACGTGAGTCCGTCCATATCAAGTAGAGCGTGTCCTTGAGCGAGAAGTGTTTACTATTATAAAAGTCCTCGTAAGTTCAGAGAAGTCTTAGAAACCGGGAAAAAGAGATAGAGGCTAGAGAAGAAGGGAAGGTTAAAGGAGAGGCTAGAGAAGAAGGGAAGGTTAAAGGAAGATGGCGGGCGTGGCGTACACTGAAATGGGTGGAGCTTGGTACAAAACTTCATTATTCGGATCCAAGAGGTTTTTATGAGCCTCTTAAGTAAAAACCGATATACGATCGATACTGATTGATACGGCGTGACCCTATGGAATTTTGCTTGTTGCGACCCCACCCAATCGATAGAGCGATTAGTAAGCAATTTCGAGCTTCCTGGGCAAAAACCGATTTTCGATAAACAGACTCGCTCAACAGAGCACCCTCACCTTCATTATCGAACACTTTTACCTCACCAACATGATTCTGGGTTGTTGCTTTAAGGCTGACCCAACTGCCCACACCACTCAGTACTGAATCAAACCACCAATTACTGTCTTGCTTTCAAAAGTAATTCTCAGAGAACACTAGAGGCACTCTCCTTAATATCCTAAAACCTTCTCAAAGCTGTTCAAAAGTGAACCGAATAAGCCTACCAGTACCATCGCTTAGTTATAGTGTGAAACCAGAAAACGGAAATCGGAAAGCGACATGATTTCAGAGCAACGTTCTTCCTTTGGACCGAAATTTGGAATAGTTAAGCTTGGCACCCAATATAGTTGAAAATTCATGCAATCGTTCTCACAAGTTTACTCAATGATACATGCCGGATTTGCGAGTTGAGTTGATGGGTACAGCCCTTAACCACTGGCGCTGGAGGTGGGTAGAACCACACCAAGTTTATAGGCTGTATTCGATTTAGAGCTGGAACTAACGGCCTATGGCCCCAGTGTGAAGGATGAATTCCATAACACCAGAAATTTCTCATTTCCTACATTTTCCAAAGAATAAAATTACTGAAATCAACACTGCAAAACAAAGAAGCCCTGAATTCGGGAATTCCAGTCCCAATGCCACCGAAAAAAATTTCGACGGATTCAAAAGCTTCAAACACAACGTAGAAAGTCTAAAAACGATACTTTATTAGTTATTAAATTTCTCGAGTTTGAGCTAGAATCGAGTAGACATCAGAACTCAGTGAGAATGGAATGAACGAGAACCAATAAATTTTCCAGTACTACAATTATTTCAGTGTACAAGTTGAATTCTAGTTATTGAAACACAATACGAAGTAGAAAATCTGACAACCTCATCACATCAATGACTAGTTAATTCGCTCATTGATGAACTTCTTTAGATCACGTAGCTCCTGAAATAATAAGGGTTAGCCCAAAAATTCCAGGAGCCGTTCCGATTTCCGCATTCTAGTTTCCAAAATTTCAATGTAAGGGGTAATTAAAGCACACATGGAAATTCAGCCTTTTAGCCATCTGAGGGGGTGGCAGGTCGTTAATTCCAGAAGAACTCCTCAAATAACTGAACAAAGACTAACCTCCGGACTACTGCTATGCGCCATACCATTGTACACGTGTAGTTGCACATTTGGGTTGAAAGCCTTGAGAAGTCTCTCTGTTAGTTGGCCAAACGTTAGAGGCACAAGGAAATCATTTGCACCGTGTCCCAGAAAAATAGGCGTCTCCTTGTTAGTTGTATGATTCTGAAAAGTAAACCATTCGATAAAGTACCTAATGACTACCCCATGCATCTAAAAAAAACTTTGAAGGAGACAAGGAGGGGGCAGAACCTGCTCTATTTCAGCCATATTCCGCCTTGGGATAGAGAAAGGGTGTGTTGGACGAGTTTCACGAGCTCCATTTGCTCCAGTGCTAATGGCATTGAACCGCAAGGCAACCACTGTGGGAACTGCGCCTACGCCTTCCTCTCATCGACGCATGTTACGTATATATCCTCACCCTGCCCTGTCCAGCTAACAGCAGCATTACAGTACTCTCACGCTAGTTCCGCTATCGTTGGCACCCTGTTTTCGATTGAATAACTACGGGTAGAACTTGTGATGAGAGGAAATAATAAGACTAGATGACTTATATCTAGTCCTAGCAGTTTTTTGCATATATCTTCGAGACGTCAGCAGTGAATATTTGTGGTAGTGGATATAAAAAATTCCTATCTCCTATGCAGCAAAAGTGGAAGCGAACACTGAACATAACATTTAATGCAAAATGATTGGAATCGTGGAGAACAGTTTTCCCATTTATAGCGCAATAGTTAAGCTTTTGCTCACAGCTTACGTAAAGAACTGCTATTATCTTCCAACGCAGAAGCTGTAAAATCCCACACAAGGTTGGCGAATAAAGCGCCAAGTCATCATGCTCCTCCCCACCCCTGCTGGTCCCCCTAGTACTAGGCTGTGAGTCTAGGGGGATGTGTAAGCCAGTTTTCAATTACCTCAACAGTCAAGGCTCAGTCAGCGTGAGCATGCCTTTTGAGTACACTAGCGCCTCAAGAAATTGATTCGCAACGGTAACGCAAACGCTCCTGTAAGCGGATTATCTCCAATGGAACTGAATTACATTTTACGGCATCTTTTACAGAAAGAATGAACATATCCCGTGCCTATCATCTACAAGTATGCGCTCTCACTTTCAGCACAAGTCATCCTCACAAGCATACCTTCGTATCAAATTTCTATGTCTAAGGAAATTCTACAATTCAACAAATCAACTACCACTCGAAAACCAGTGCCGTACACGCAACTACTAGCATTCATGATAACACTAACCTCAACAACTCTCCCCTCAGGTGCCAAGTAAACTTCGTCCCCTCGAGTCCCTCACTGCACTGGTACAATGCATAATGGCATCAATGATTGTTCTAGTGCGGAACATTATAAATACACTAGCACATTACCCTATTTTGCATGTTAAGAAGTAAATGACATGAGGAATTAGAGTGGTTTCCAGGCGCGCAATGGTTTTCCAACGATATGTAGAGCATCTCTCTCGGTACCCGTCACCTATCTGAAAGGAGAAATGCATGGCTCGACTCTGTAACACATATAGGAAGCTTGTGCCTAGTATAATGATTAGCCCTCCATTTCCTTTCATCACGAGCCCCGCCTGTTATCATCAGTTACAAAAGTCAACGCCAGTAGAACTAGGCGTGGGCGTACTGTAATCGCTTGCGGTACGCAATTGCACCGGCGCAGGGTGGGATATATACGTAACATCGTCACCGATGCAGCATCCGAACCGCGAAGGCGTGTTTGCAAACGAAAAGGTGCAGAATTGCGGTCAGGCGAATTTCCTAAGCCCTTTTGGGACGCAACTAACCGTAAGCAGGGGAAGACATCCCGCTTGTCCCGCCTCTACTATATCGGAAGAACAGGGACAAGCCTAAATCCTAGACCGCGCTTTAACACTAACTAGTCGAAGTTAGGTGGAGGGAGGGTGCGCCAAGTACAGACCTCCATGTGCTAACTGGCGATAGTGCCTGTCCAGATGTCGTTTTTGAGCGCTTCGCCCAACGCTCCAGACCGACATCACGCTAACTCTCATACCAAACGCATGAACGGTATCAGACAACGCTAATTTAATGGCTCGCTAGAGCAAATTAAAAAGGAGAGTTCCCACGCCAAAAGCGAAGTTGAAAACAAGAGGAAAGTACCCATATGGAAGGCAAGGTTGGGCCCTCGCTAAACCCCACATGCATAGTTTGCGAGAGCGTGCGCCAAGCGAATCGAAGTTGCGCCACGGGGTCTATACCGACACCACCACGATCGCACCAATGTACCAGCGATTCAACAGTGTTTAAAATTGCCGGACCAATTTAAGAAGCCCCGCCACTTTCAAACAAGTGTTGTCTTTTGAAGTGACTCCCTTTAAAAAGTTGGCTCCCGCTAATTTCAACGAAAGTGTATCGCTGGTAAAACTTCGACTCGCTGGTGCATCGGTCGATTCGCTGGTGCAACCTTCGATTCGCAGGCGCAACGCTCAGATTCAGTGATTCGCTGGCGAACCACTCGGTCTGCAAACCATGACATCGGCCATGGGTGTGGGACGATGAGGTTTTCACAGCGAAAGTCCGCATCCCCAATGGCATAAGCAGGCCCGAACGCAATCATTCGCGCAACTGCCATTCCCACTGATGGGTCGCCATCGAACCCTGACCGTTCAGTTGTGGATGGGAACAGCACCGATGAGACTCGCATCAGTGCGCAAATCAGCCGGGCAAATGATGGTGTCCCATTTCTTAGGTTTCTAGGACCGCTTTTCTTTTTCATCTCCGCATCACCACCTCCAAACTAATTTTTGATGAGCTGTCTTCTATTATAAACTCTGCCATTGGAGATGAAATTTCGAGCACATACAACTAATGGTTATGCTTTCCTGAAATCCAGTTCCACGTTATTTTGCCACTCCATCAGAAATCAAATTAACCGTTAATTGCGAAGGCCCCTGATTAACCAAACAGCGTTTTATACCCCGCGCCCCTAGTCGACTCCAGAAACCATTTCTGACCATCTGGAGTGAAGAGGCTTCAAAAAAATCCACAAGAAACAGAAATCCAACCTACCTATACTATGCCCCCCCAAAACGTACCACTCGCTACTAACCTCAACCACCTTCGGCCCGTCTCTGGGAAACCTTATGAAGTAAATGTTAAAGTAAAATCTGACTTTCAGGGCCTGGCTGCGCAAGCCCCGGCCAGGAATAGGCTCCCAACTAGGCCATCTCTACCCCTTCGATACGCAGTCCTCATGGTAAGAGATAGGCATATAGTTTGAATCCACTCGACAAGGCCTGCTGCATCGCCCCAATAGTTTACGTCAAACCTCAAAGAAAATCAAAAGTCCTAGAACTCTTGAAATTTCTTTAATGAATTAAAAAGATGAAAAGAACTAATAATTGGACGTTTCTGAATTCTCTCTACCCAATTGAGCCTCAGATTATTGTTGAACGTTCACTTATAGCAAGAATTATATGTAACTAAACCGAGAAATTCTGTTAAGAACTATACCTCACCAATTAGAAGTCCAAATATGTAGCCTTCCAATTAGGGTCGGGTCATACGTTGCAATTCGGGTTGCAGTTCAAGTGGATTAGATAGATATCCATGATGCGTATGTGCAAACGATTCGTATCTACTCCATACTCGAACTTCAGACTCGAAGTGGTAAGTATGGCCCGACCTCCCTCTACTTTGTCGTACTGGCACTTCAAGAACCTCGCTAGATATCAAAAAATTGACAAAAAAGCAAAGCGAGCTCGGGAAGTAGGTATGCAAGAGCTACTACTTCCTCCGCTTTAACCTACACCAAAAATTTCGAATCCGTAAAACTACACGGAATCCTTCAAAAGCAGATTCAAAACGGAGAACATACCCCTGGTAGTTTGTCCCTCTGAATGAGGAACGAACTCAGGCCAACAATTCCAGCGAGTTTGTGTGGATAAGTGAGACCAGCGTAGAGAGCCAGTGCTCCTCCCATTGAAAAACCTCCTAGTATGATTTTCTCCGATGGAATGCCAGTTGCCATCTATAAAAAAAGCAATTAATTAGTCACTATTCTGAAGTAGGAAAAGATAGAAGAGGGCGGTCAAACGACCCCTTCAATGATTAGCATAGAGAGCAAAAGCTGAGAAAAAATTAATAACATCAGCAAAAAAATGATGTCGAAATATGAGTAGATTTCTCAAAGTTACGAAAAATTGGCTGCGAAGGAGTGAGCGTGAACGGTGAGAATTACTCGAAACGCTACCTCTGCATCGATCATCCCATGAACAAGTCGCGTAGCCTGGGCTATTCCATCTGAATCCTCGCGAGGCACTAGCATCTAGCCCAAATAAATCGAACCAAGCTGGCATTCTCATGCCCATATTCAGTGTCACTGGTCGTGATGCACTACAATATCGGCAATTGAAATTTCAAATTTCACTAATAATGACCAAACACACCGGCGAAGTCACATTGCCAACGAGCGAAACAAAGCATATACAAAAGATTAAAAAGCATTCTCACCTACTAGGACAAATATACTTCGTATTGTCATTGCGGATTTCGTGGGCGAACACATCAGCCCAACCATCACCTGAATCTCCTAGACCGTGCAGAAAAATCACCTGAAATATTCAATAAAACACACAAATTTGAAAAAATGTACTTTCATTTGAAATGCAAGGTTTACGCTTCCATGACTTTTCCAAACAACCTCTCTTTAGCGTTTGGCTCTGAAAAAATTTCCGAACAACCCAATACATTAACGATCACCATACTAGTACATTACACAAAAAGACGTAAAACACGGTTTTTTTTTCTACTCGAAACACATAGATGGGAAGGGATCCTTATCCTACAGGAAATAGAAGGCGAAACGTTTCCACAAAAACTCGGTTACTGGCCATGTTTCCCATTCCTTCAAGTAGGCAATATCAAAGTAGATAGCAGAGACAACTACTGTGACATCGTGGGATACTGCTTTGATGTATCCCTACCTTTCGACCTTCGAGAACGGAATTATTAATAAAGAGCCACACCGCAGAAATCTAAACCGTATTGCTCCATGAAAAATAGAGATCCCCCTTTTAGGAAAAAAATCCTGACCATTCGATCAGATTTCAAGAGAAGTGAGTCAAGGCGCACACATACGGATCTTTCACCTCAAAGCTTCCATGAAACTTCGTTTAGCATACATTCTCTACGAAGGAAAAGAAAGGATAAAGCATTTGCCGTTGATCAATCCCTTTTGGGATGCGGCACGCATTCTACTTCCATTTGTACATTCGCAGTGGCGTTTGAATGCGATGTGGCCTATACAATGACTTGCGGGGGCCAGCCGATGTTCAAGTCAGTGTTTTTATCCTCCCAGACAAGTCTGGTACCAATTAACCGACCCCGGAGGGATGGAAGGCTTGGTTGGCCCGGGCGACTCACGACCCAGGATTTGATCCCGGACCGCTCGCGTGGTGAGCGCGCCACTTGTCACTGCACCACTTCCGCCCTGAAACATACAAAGAATTAATTCAACAATTGATATGATTAATTATAGAAGCAGAGGTGTGGAAAGGTACTGCAGTCGAGGAGAAGGCATATCTCTAAAAAATTGCAAAAATTCATTTCGCTGCGTGATTACGGACGAGTTTAAAAAGTAGCTGATAGCGTGAAGGTGCCCAACAGAAGGTACGACGACAAGATTACAAGGTGCGCTCATTCAAAAACTGCACTGGAGCTTAAAGGAGGAATCCACGATAAGAACGAAGCCGAAAGAGGGACAAATTTAGCTAGAGGAGACACCTCTTAGGGGGCGGACCAACACGCAATTCGCATCGAAGGCTACGCTCCCGGCGATCTAAGGGCGCATACATAGTCGATCGGACGACAGCAACGATCGTAAGTGTCGCACGGCATTGGATGCGTACGATCGTCGGGACTTGCCTGAGTATTCGATGATTAGATGCAGTTAGACAGTCAGACAGCTGCGATCGTTGCTGTCGGACGACCGACTATGCGTGCGCCCTAACGAGGCCTTCCCTTTGGCGCAGTTGGCGCGGAACGCCCACTGACTACCTGATCACTCGCCGCACGTCTACACGCGGCGCGTGATTGGATAGCAGGGAAAGGTAGCGGTGAAGAGGGCACGACGAGGAGAGTCGTATTAATGCGGAAATCAACAGGAAGGGAAGGGGTCTACCTCTCGGGCTTCGGGCCGTTTCACGTGGTTTCTTCTTCTATCCCTACTCATTTGGCACTCTACCCTTGTTTCACAATGGTGGTAACCTTTTCATACGTAAACGTTGGATGGACAGCGGTGAGCGAGCAACGTTCGGCCCACGGTTGCGCACCAGTGGGAACATGTTGTGACGCAGTAACGGTTCCCACCAGTCGTCCCACTTCTTGCGGGCTTGTGGCGATTTTTGGTTAGAGTCTTATCAACCCATTCTATAAGGTTCATTAACTTAACATACCGTAACCACGTGGGCTCATTAGAAACGTCAAGTATTTCTTTCAGTCTGGCAGGACATTTTCTCAGGGCCTTACGGGATATATCTGTGGCGCTTCATTTCTCGTTTTTTTTTTCATTAACGTAAAGATGTTGATAAAGAGGAAAGACAAAACGACTACAAACATTATTCCTGGTTAGATAGGTGTTTTTGCTGGAACAACCACGTCCACATCAATTTTATCTTTATCTTTATCATTATCAGTTGCAGAAGAAATTTTCGAAATACTGAGGAGAGATTAAAGAAAATTCCCCTCTCTCATGGCCTCAAAACATTTTGGTCGTGATGGATATATGGGTAACCTAAGTCAGTTTTACTGGATCATCCAAAGTTTAGATAACTTGTGAGTAATATCTCGGATTGAGATGGGGCCGCGTGCAGGTTGTAAAAGTGCATGCAGGTGCAGACTTGTATCCCTAGGTGTAACCTTAGGTACTTGAGATTCTCTCTTATGGTCGTAAACCTAAGCCACGCCCCCATCTACTGTCGATCCGTCTTCTGATCGAGCTGATCAGTCAGTCTGGAGTTTTGCCGAGCTCACGGGATGTGAGCAGATCGGTCTCTCTCGGAAAACGAGAGGGGAGTTTCCCGAGATCGTTGTGTACGATTAGGCGATTAACTCTACGTGCTAGAGGGCTCCCCCTGACTCCGAAGCGTCGCCCGATGCGAGCTTCGTTCTCTTCACACCAGTTGAAGAGTGGATCTTTCCCCGAGTGGAAAGTAGTTGTGCAGTAGTTTAGCTTTCGGTACAAGAACGATTACAGATGCGCGTTTTGGCTTAAGCGTGGTTCACGTGATGGTCGCCCTTCTGTGTTCAGAAGGAAGTGTACGTTTTGAACATCCTCAGCGAGAAGATGGTTCAATCGTACAAGATGGCAGGTGAATTGCGGACAGTCCCCGTTCCCTAGCTTGGTTAAGCCTAGAATCTACAGTAGTAGATTCTAGCACCTTTTGTATATTGATTGGCTCATTGCCAATCATCATTTTGTATATAGATGCAAATAAATGGTTAATTACGAATAGTGTGTTGTTTTGTAATTGGGTACGGTCAATCGTCACAGCTGTTACATAACACCCACTACTGTCACGAAACTTTGGAGCTCTCCGCGGTTCCAACATCCAACTTCCACTGCTGTAACTCCAGATAAGCTAGACAACATCATTGAAAACATTTCATCGCATCTAAGTATTGCGGATTTACAACTTAAAATCCATGGATTTGGTGTGCGGCGGCTGCGCTCTTGCCCCACGCGGTGCAAAAGCACAAAACGCGCGATTTCGTCAACGTGTAACTGTACTGTCAGATACGACGTAGCGCACCTTCCACCGACTATTCCAGCGTTTGCACATGCTTCCCTACGATGCCTCAAAATTATCGCAGTCATGGCCGTAGCATATATAATTCCTACACAAGCATGAATCAAAATAAAAAAATTATAGAAAAATTTTGAGGAGCAAAAAGAAAGGGGAACGGGAAAAAACTTTAAAAAAACCTCGTAAGAAAAAGGGAAACAATATGCTTCATATGTTGCAAAAACTCACCGTTGAAGTATGATTCTTCTTGGGCTTGATGATAACTGGCGGCGGAGCTTGATTCATTGCTGAAGCATGCAGTGTTCTTGTGAGAAATGAGGCGAACGGTATAGTTTTCACGCAGGTTTCAGAATGATATGCAAACGAGGCTGAGAGCCCAGATAGCAGAAGTCGGCTCAGCACAGCACCACGTCCTGACATGCACCCAGTAGCAATTCCCTTCTACAAATGTACGTCGCTCACAGCATGCCAATCACAAAACACTTGCAGATCTGTTCACATAGTGTAGCTAGGCATTACATGGTAATAAAAGCCACAGCTTCCATCCAACAAAGGCATATTCAAAACAATTTAACCCGAATCTTTATAACTTCAAGGTTACAGATTGCACAATGACGACATTCAGCAAACTAGTGCAGCGTGCAGCTCAAAGGCAAATAGTACGAAGAAGTTGTCGCCTTTTGGATCACTCCCTCACAGGCCCAGTCTTTCTGTGCAGTAGGCTTGCTCCCTCTTTCTCGTCATCAATTCATCGCGCCATCTCCCTTCAACAAATCAGCGAGAATTTTTAGAGCAGAACCTAAGTCAGCGGCAGCCAGTGCCCTGCACGATTCCGGGCTCCAAAAAAAAACATACAAAATGTATAACCGGCCAGGGAGCACAAACCAAAATGGGGTCCAATCCAATCACATTTATAACGCTGAAAAGGAATAAAGTTATAAACTATGCCGTTGCAAAGATTATCACGATTGTCCAGTGAGCTATATGATGCCAAAAATTGTCCCAATCACACCAAAATGTTTCATTACTACGGACAGTACGTGCTGTACACAGGACTTCACAGTACCAAGCAAATTTCGCTCTCAACGAAACGATCAACGAACACGGCCGCATAAGCACATGCTTCAACATAGTGCAGCCAAAAGACGGCTTGGAAAAAAAAACAAATACTAGCTTTGGAGTGCGACCTTGATATTCAGCTAAACAAGACTAATTCAAAATTGTTATTCGTGAATTAATGAGCTGTTAGTACTGATATTTTCCACCGAAGAAAAACAACAATGGTCACAATTAGTGAGCCAAAAAAGGAACACGTCTTACAAGAAAATCTCTAGCGATAGAAAATAAATCTGCGCAACAAGAGAATAAAATTAGAACAAGACCAAATTATAACTTAAACAATTATAAAATGAACAACAACTCGAACAATAAAGATCTAAGAGATCAACAAAAAACAAAAACAAATACACCTTGCTATTGCACTCCTTACAAGTCTAAGCTAAACTAAAGGGGTGTAATATTCGAATCATACGGCAATCTCGCCATTCGAATAATCATCCTAACTCTATCATCATTCGCGACAAGCTGGATGATTCTACATTCCAAATGGACACAGTTTCAGCACACTTGATAGTTCAAATGGCAACGAGGGTGAATAACATTCGAGAAAATGCAATGAATGCCAAGCATTACTTGTGTCGCTTTCATGGAATACTTCCACATTCTGACGTAATTCTTCATGGGCACAATTACTAATCATGCCAGCAGCACGTACCCATCCATAAGAAAGCTCGGATTTCTCTGGATGTCTCCCCAAGGACCGAGTCCTCTCCAGCAGCCGCCTTTACCCCAGCGCAGTAATCGATCTTTAGCCTCCTCCTCCTGTAAAAACAAAACTAAAAAATTACGAAGTTGAGCAATCAGGTATAAGTCGCTCTTGTCTTCAATCGTACCATTGAACCGTCAGGCGTCAAGCAAATAGTGATCGTTGGTCAGTGTGGTACTGGATATGAGAATCACTTTTCTTCCATTGCTGTATAATGGCACAGTAAAGCTCCTGCAATGCTCACCTTTGTAGAAACCCTATTTTGTGAGTGTGCCAGCTTACCAGGAAGGTCTTTCAGGGCGTGCCAAGCTTTTTGAAAACGGTCTTTTGCATGATATAGGGGCACATGCGGGAACCACAGAACCATGGTTAATTTTTCCTGAACGGCCCTCTGAATACCAGAAAAGGGGGTCCCTAGTTCGATTCCTCGTGGTGAAAACTTTGCATTTCGAGTTGACGTTCCAAAATTCGCGCAAAATGGAGTTCTGATGAGTATGGCATTCTTGTTTATGCTAACTCCATTTTGCGCGAATTTTGAAACGTCAACTCGAAATGCAAAAATTTGTCACCACGAGGAATCGAACTAGGGACCCCCTTTTCTGGTATTCAGAGGGCCGTTCAGGAAAAATTAACCATGGTTCTGTGGTTCCCACATGTGCCCCTATATCATGCAAAAGACCGTTTGAAAAAGCTTCCTGGTTAGAATGGGGAGAAATATATGGTCAACAAGTTTTGATTAATAACGAAAGCGTTTAAACAA